TCCCAGCTACCTGGGAGGCTGAGGCAGGAGGATCGCTTGAGCCCAGGAGTTTGAGGTTGCTGTGAGCTAGGCTGATGCCATGGCACTCTAGCCCGGGCAACAGAGTGAGATTCTGTCTCAAAAAAAAAAAAAAAGAAAAAACTCTCAACAAATTAGGCATAGAAGGAACATACCTCAACATAATAAAGGTCATATATGACAAACCCAAAGCTAACATCATACTAAATGAGGAAAAATTGAAAGATTTTCCCCTAAGAACTGAAACAAGACAAGAATGCCCACTTTTACTACTCCTGTTGTACTGAAAGTCCTAGTCAGAGCGATTGAGCAAGAGAAAGAAAGAAAAGGCAAACAAATTGGAAAACAGGAAGTCAAACTGTCCCTATTTGCAAATGACATAATCTTATATGCAGAAAAACCTAAAGACTTCACCAAGAAACTCTTAGAACTGATAAACAAATTCAGTAAAGTTGTAGGATACAAAATTAACATATAAAAATCACTAGCATTTCTATACACCAATAATGAACTAGCTGAAAGAGAAATCAGGAAGGCAATCCACATTACAATAGCTACAAAAAAATAAAATGCCTAGGAATAAATTTAGCCAAGTAGGTAAAAGACTACAAAATACTGATGAAAGAAATTCAAAATACTGATGAAAGAAGAGGACACAAATGGAAAGATATCCCATGCTCATAGATCGGAAGAATTAATATTATTAAAATGACCATGCTACCCAAAGCAATCTACAGATTCAATTCAATTGCTATCAAAATACCAATGACATTCTTCACAGAAATAGAAAAAACAACCCTAAAATTACTATGGAACCAAAAAAGGACCTGAATAGCCAAAGCAATTCTGAACAAAAAGAACAAAGCTAGAAGAATCACACTACCTAATTTCAAAATACACTACAAAGCTATAATAACCAAAACATAATAGCATGGTATTGGTTCAAAAACAGATACATAGACCAATGGAACAGAATAAAGAACCCAGAAATAAATTCATGTATTTACAGCCAATTGGTTTTCGACAAAGGTATTAAGAATATACATTGAGGAAAGGATACCCTCTTCAATAAATGGTGTTGGGAAAACTGGATATCCATATGCAGAAGAATGAAACTTATACCCCTATTTCTCACCATATACAAAAATCAACTCAAATGAATTAAAGACTTAAATGTAAGACCTGAAACTGTAAAACACTAGAAGAAAACAAAGGGGAAATGCTCCAAGACATTGGTGTAGGCAAAGATTTTATTGCTAAGACTGCAAAGCAAAGACAAAAGAAATAGACAAATGGGATTATATTAAATTTAAAAGCTTCTGCATCGCAAGAGACAATCAACAAAGAGACAACCTTTGAATGGGAGAAAATATCTGCAAACTATTCATCCAACATAGGACTCATATCCAGAATATATAAGAAACTCAAACACCTAAACAGCAAAAAAACAAATAATCCAATTAAAAAGTGGGCAAAGATTCTGAATAGACATTTCTCAAAAGACATGTAAATGGCCAACAAGTATATGAAAGAATATTCAGCATCACTAATCATCAGGAAAATGCAGATCAAAGCCACAATGAGATATCATCTTAAATCCAGCTAAAATGGCTATTTCAAAAAGACAAAAAATAACAAATGCTTGCAAGGATACAGCGAAAAGGGAACACTTATACGATGTTGGTGGGAATGTAAATTAGTGCATTCTCTACGGAAAACAGTATGGAGATTTCTCAAAAAACTAAAAAGAGAATGACCATGTATGATCCAGCAATCCCACTACTGGGTATTTATCCAAGGTAAAAGAAATGAGTATAACAAAAAGATATTTAATCCCTGCACCCCCATGTTTATTGCAGCACTATTCATAATAGCAAAGATATAGAATCAACCTGTGTCTACCAATAGATAAATGGATAAAGAAAATGTGGTATATAGACACAATGGAATACTTTTCAGCCATAAAAAAGAATGAAATTATGTCATTCGCAGCAACATGGGTGGAATTGGAGTTAAGTGAAATAAGCCAAGCACACAAAGACAAATATCACATGTTCTCATTCATACATGAGAGCTAAAAAAAAAAAAAAAGTTGATCGCATAGAGGAAGGGAGTAAAATGACAGATACCAGAGGCTGGAAACGGGGGTTTGGTAAAGAGAGGTTGGTTAATGGGTATAAACATACAATTAGACAGAAAGAATAAGTTTTAATGTTTGATAACAGAGTAGGGTGACTATAGTTAACAACAATGTATTATACATTTCTAAATAACTAGAACGGAGGACTTGAAATGTTCCCAACACATACTATAGAAATAATAAATACTTGAAGTGATGGTTACCCCAAATACCCTGACTTGATCATTACACATTCTGTGCATGTAACAAAATATCACATGAACCTCATAAATATTTAAAAATAAAGCCAGGAGACTTGAAAAAAAAAAGGATCACAGAAAAGCTTAACAGATCAACATATTTGCTAGCTTTCTGGGTTTAAACATTTTTTACCCATTGCATTAGATGAGAGACAAAATAGAAAGCAAGGGAAAATTCAGTAAACCTTTTGCAATTTTCAGTCTCATTGAATGGGCAAAAGGATTTTTATAGTAGACATGACTTGGTTTTGTTTGCCCAGCATTAATCTTTCTTTTTAGAGACTTCCCCACATATGGTTCTGGTAGGTTGTCATTTAAAACGTCTTACTTGTTCTTTGGGTAGGCACTTGACCCTGGCCTAGCTATTATGATACCCAATCCCGCTGTCCATGAATAATCCAAGGAATGGATATAAAAGAAAATTTCTTCTCTTCTATGAGTTTAGTTTTTGTCACCTAAAAAATCAGAAGATTTGGGGAGATAATCATGGCAAAATAGGAATGTAACCAATATTTACTGAGCACCCAACATAGAGGACAAGTATCAAGCTAGGTTCTTCACGTAACAATTTTATCTAATACACTCACGTACAATTGTCATGGACCCAATTAAGCTGCTATTCAGTAAGTTTAAGTTATTTACCCAAAGCACTGTAGAGAACTAAATCAGAAAATTAATTCTCCTAAAAGCATATCTATTAGGTTAAGTACAAAATGTCCGATTTCTTTAAGTACTAAGATGGTTGATATCTCTGACATTTCAGTTTGACACTTCTTGTTTTATTTTTATTGTGAAGGTACATCTTCATTCTTTCAAATACAGAGTTTGGCTTGTTATTATCTTTCAAATTTTTTTTAAAGCAATTTTTGTGAAACCATGGGTAAGTCAAAAACTCGTGTTATTTTCTAATATGAGATGGCAAAACTGTGTCAATAGTTTAGGCAAATACTTTGATTAATTGTGTTGTTTCTTATCTGAGATATAATAAACTAAAATTTTGATTTGGAAATTGGATATTTCATATTTAATGACCTAATAATTAGTGGCTTAATATAAATGAAAGTAAATCATTAGAAAGGATAAAGATAATCATGTCAATTAAGACGGAGCCTAGTTTATATGATCCAGCAATCCCACTACTGGGTATTTATCCAAGGTAAAAGAAATGAGTATAACAAAAAGATATTTAATTCCTGCACCCCCATGTTTATTGCAGCACTATTCATAATAGCAAAGATACAGAATCAATCTGTGTCTACCAATAGATAAATGGATAAAGAAAATGTGGTATATAGACACAATGGAATACTTTTCAGCCATAAA